ATACGAGGCATTGTATGGGAGGAAGTGCAGGACACCGTTATGTTGGGACGAGGTCGGCGAGGCCAAGCTCGAGGGGATTGAACTTGTTGAAATCACCAAGACTAAAGTGAAAGTCATTCAGGATAGACTCAAGACTGCCCAAGATCGGCAGAAGAGCTATGCCGACAAACGACGCAGGCCATTGGAGTTCGAGGTCGGTGATAAGGTCTTCCTAAGAATTTCTCCTTGGAAGGGTATCATCCGATTTATATCGAGGGGAAAACTCAACCCCCGATACATTGGTCCGTTTGAAATCCTTGAAAGGATTGGGGCGGTGGCTTACCGTCTCAAGCTGTCGCCGGAACTTGAGAAGATACACGACGTGTTTCATGTATCGATGCTCAAGAAATACGTGAGAGATCCATCTCATATTCTTGAGAAGCCACCGGTGGAGATACGTGAAGATCTACAATATGCAGTGGAACCGGTAAAGGTTGTGGGTCAACAGGTGAAGAAATTGAGGAACAAGGAGATTCCTATGGTAAAAGTCCTTTGGAGGAGTGATCGGGTCGAGGAAGAAACATGGGAGACTGAGGTCTCAATGAGAGAGCAATACCCTTTTCTCTTCGATTAGACACGTGGATTTCGGGGACGAAATCCCAAATAAGGGGGGTGAACTTGTAACACCGTCCCCAAATGTATTTACTTTTAAAGTGAATATTGTATTTTAACCTTATGGAATGGTTGACGAATTTACGAGGTTATGAATTTTTATTAATTTTTGCGTGAATAATAAGTTCGCGCGTGGGGCCCGCACCGGGAGCGGGGGCCGCCCGATATTCCCGGGACCACATAAATTATTCATCTTGGTCTAGATAATATTTATATGGTGGTGGATAATTCTTTTGAACCATGGAAAGGTCTTGAGTTGACCGATTGGTCAAAAGAGGCCCAAATACCGGTATTGGCAATTTAACCGATAAAAGCCCGAAATTGGATTTCGGAGACCTATAAATTTAAGTTGGGAAATGTATATTCATTTTAAGGGTCATAATGATTGGGAACATGTAATATATCTTATTTGACCCGATAAAATAAAATATATTTAAAACTGTCCGAAAAATACAACTTTCGGGACAAAGTGTACACTTCTGGACAAAAGGGGTTGACCTCCCACATGGGTGGGGGCCAACCCACGAATTTAGCCACACAAATTGAGGCATGGGGCTGCTGAATGGAGAGGAGGAAGATGGGTAGAAGTTGGGTTGACTTGAGAGGCATCTAAAGGACAAAGGTGGGTCTCTCAACCCACACATAATTGCCTATTGAGACAAAAAGCCAACCCCAACCCCTCTCTCCCCTATTCTCGGCCAGCACCAATCCCAACAAGGGAAGAAAAGATCTCCATCCTCCTCTCCCCATCCTTGAAGAGAGCTCAAACAATAGAGGTCCAAGAGGGAAGATTTAAGAGAGAAAAAGCTAGGAAAAGTGAGAAAGATTAAGGTAATGACCTTATATTAACTTTTCCTTTATTTTTCTTCTATCATTTTAGATATATATCATGTGAAGAACATTGAGGATTGTTCCACATGAGTTAGTGTAGAATGATGGGTTGGAAGGGGGTTCTAAGTCCAAAAACGGACCTAGGAGCCAAACCGACAAGTTCACCGGAAAATAACCTTTTAGAGGTTATTCGTATTGATTAAGGTTTTATGATGTTAAAACCTTGTTAGGAGCTTGATTAAAGTACTTTGGAGCTTCGCCGGAGTTTCGCCGGAGTTGGTCAAAGTTGGCCGGAGTTGGTCAAAGTTCACCGGAAATAGTCAAAGTTCAACCGCGGAGCGTAGAACACGCTTAAGCTCACTTAAGGTGAGGATGACCGACTATATTGCTTATAATTATTGGGTTAATTTCATAAGATTACCTAAATGAATTATATGTGTTTGGCATGATTTATTTATAATATAAAAAAATGCCTAAATGAGATTATTATTGTTTATAAGTAAAAGTGCATAATATACAAATTTATGAATAAATTGTGTATGATTATGTATTATGAATACAATGGTATAATAGCGTGTAAACTATAAATGAATTGTGATAAATATACTTTTACCTCATGTAAGGAAGTCATGGAAGGATAAAAGTGATATTTTGATATTAGAACCAAGTTATACTTGAATGTGGAATTAAATTGAAATAGCCAAATTACTATGAAATTGCATTGGCTTATTAAGGTTAAATGACTAGTATAGAAATACTAGCCGGGAATGTTAGCATGAAAAGTGATAGAACAAATTCTAGGGGTTTGGATTGTGAAAGATGTACCTTAAGTAGTCATATGAAATGTCTTAAGGTAGAAATGAGTAAACGCTAAGTTACCGTAGGAGTGGATCTTGAAGGTTACTCATAGTAGAGGAACTCTAGGCATAGAGATTGCTTAGTGAATTAGTATCGTGACTAGAGGAAGCCTCGAGCACGATGAAGAATGACTGGAGGAAGCCTCCAGCATTCGTGTAGGACGACTAGAGGAAGCCTCTAGCGTAACGTAATGTGACTGGAGGAAGCCTCCAGCACAACGTATGTAAGGTGATTAGAGGAAGCCTCTAACACCAAGTGGAGTGACTAGAGTCAGCCTCTAGCACGACAAAACATGACTAGAGGAAGCCTCTAGCATGGTAAACTAATATAGATGAGTGTGGCTTGAAGTCACGGGGAAAGGGTTAAATGTTTTCAAAGTAAACATGGGCCTTCGGGCGATTACTTGACTATATATATAAAGTAAGTATACTTTCAAAAGAGGGTAACCACGGGTTATGACCTATAATATAATAACATCCTAGATTGAGGGTCTTGGAAATTGAAACTTTGATTATACTTAGTATAGTTGTCATTGTACTTGTCAAATGCTTCCAAGTACTGACCTCCCCTTCACGGGGGAGGCCACCTCACAGTTTCAGGTAGAACTTGAAGGGTGCTACCATCACCGTTGCTTCGGGCGGATTATCAAGGAGAGGAGACGTGGTTCGTGCTTCCTCCGTTTCTGTTTTAAAACATTCAAATTAATGCTCATGGATACTATTTTCCGAATAATTATTTAGGGCTTGCACGCCCGTGTTTGCCACGTGTGGCTCGAATGCTAGTATTAATATTTCCGCTGCTTAATTAAATGATTTACATTGTGATTGTTTATGGATGTACTAATGTGAATGGTATTCAAGACGCCTTGTATAGTATGGATGAGTTGGACTGCGGTTGACTATTCGTACTGTACGGCGGGTTGTTGACGTGTCCGGGAAGGTCCGGGGCGTGACAATTTTATACTATGTACTCTATGTATAAAAGCCGGGCACACATGCATAATTGGTAAAGGAGCAGGAAGATACTAAATTATATTAGATGAGTAGGTGAATTAGAACAAAGAATACTAATGTTTTCTTTTATGATTTACAATAACTAACAAGTCATACAATCAAATTGAGATATTTTTAAATGGTGGTGACTAGGATTGAGTTATGTTAGCTGAGTCAGAAGGGAATCCTCCTTTCCAGGGGTAACAATGGTGAAAGTTTCGGAAACGGATTCCTCTATGAACGGGCTAAGAGATCCGGCATAATCACTCACAAAAGCTTCTTTCATCATCTTGCAGACTTGCGCCAGTTGTCCTTTCACAATCCCGCTTACATGCAAACCATTGAAGATGGACCTCGCGGCAAAGAGCTTGAACCAGCTACAATCCCCAAGCTCATGTTCTTCGAAAATCGGAGTATTTAGCTATTGGAAAATCACCTTTGGGCAGCCCCGGCTATAGATTTGCCTCACGGGAACATGTACTCGTTCCTGGCCGCATTCAGTTAGTGTTCATTGCTGAGTGATCGCTCAGCTTGGTCCGGAAGCTTCCTTTCTCCCCTCCCGCGTTCCCGACCTCAAAGGAATTTCAAATGAAAGAAGAATATGTGTGCACTATCTATGGAGTGGAGTGACTAACTGCTTCCTATCAAGTTCTGTCACACTTTAACCGGGAAATCTCTTTTCAAAATCATTTGCCTAAATGAAAGGTCTAGGACGCTTTATCATCAATAAGAAGAATAAATGAAAGCTTGTGTGACACCCCGAAAAATTGGAATAAAATAAATAAATTTTATTAGTGAGATAAAATGTTACGAAAGTCACATTTTAATAATAAAGGAAATCAGATAAATTTTTAACATCAGTGACATTTTAAATCAGATAAAAATGTTTCAATAATAAAAGTGACATTTTTGTAACAAGTGATAACTATAGATATGACATAAATAATAAAAGTGATATTTTAATTTGAAGACATGAGTAAACAAAATGGGTACAAATATACTATAAATACCATACGAAAACAACAAAGAAAGAGTTGACTTTTAAAGTCTAATAATAATGCATACTGTATATTAAAATAATATGCTTGATGTACCAATATTATAATTGGTGCCTAGTAATAATAAAGGATAAGACAAAAGTATCTCAAATACACATGCCTACCAACCATTCACATGGACATAGCCCATGTACGTACGGACATGCCTCCATGTGCATTTGTTTTCCCTTCACATCATACATCCAAATAATAATAATCATACAGACATACATACTTAGATGAACACCCATACTAACAAATATAGAGTATACTATAGTCATAATTTACATCTACGTTACTGTAGAAATACGTGTAGCTCCATTGTCCTTTCATTATATTCAATAATACCCATACATACGGCTTATGATTCACATAATAGAATATTAGTAGAATATGAAAATGTATACACATAGCAATAATATGGAGAAGTATACAAAGGAAATTAATGCACATGCTTCCCACATCATGCACATCGGATGAGGCCAAAAGTACATGTACAAGTGTATTTAGCTAAGCATATAGACATCCGATTACAAATTCACATGGGAAGTTTTAATCAATACTGTCGGTGCAATGTACTCGAACTCCTATATATCCATGCGTTATATATTACTCATAGACGTGCAAAGAAAAAAAAAACAAAAAAAAAACGAGCAACAGGATTTACTACCTCTGTCGAGAGAGAGAAGAGAGAGAGGGTGTGAGTTGGCCGTCGCAAGAGAGAAAGGATCTCGCCGCATCACCACCCCATTGCCGGAGAAGAAGACCCGGTTGTACGCCGGGCTGGTTCACGCTAGAGGAAGAGGAGAAGCTGGAGTTTTTGCCACCGGACCTAAGTGCTGCCGCTGAGCATCACGGCAATCCACCAACCAGTCACCGTGGAGAAGCAGTTCGCCGGAGTGGAACCCGTCTGTCGGACGGAAGAAGGAAGCTGCCGGAGTCCACTGGGACTTCTGTGCGGAGGAGAAGGACATCGTCGCTCGTATTGCCGCTACTCCCTACGTCGCCAGAACTGTTTTGCGGAGAAGACAACAAAGCGTATGTCCATCTTACTTTGTATTACGATAGTATGTATACTACGTACGCAATAATACGTTAATGACTAATGCATGGGCTAGATCTCTTTTATTTAAAATATACTCCGTATATAGGTTGAGCCAACTCCACTAATAATTCGTAATACCTAGCTGGGTTGCTAGATAATAGGTGGAGTGGGTATTAATCTAATTACTAGGCTGGCCGAAATTATCATGGACTAGGCTATTTATTTAGTTTACCAGACTGATTAATAACAACAATAATACACTTGGCTAAAAATATTATTACAACTGCACTATTTCTAGTTATGGACTGTTTACGACTTTACGCTGGACCGAATATATGGACTCACCGGATAAGATGACATTTTAGTGATAAATAAATTCTGACGCAAATTAATATAAATATAATAATATACTGCGTATTAATTAAATGGCTTAGTTGACCAGGTTGCCTAAAGATTGAGTGAATTTGACTAAGGTATTAGCCACTGGTCTACATTTTATCCTTGTATAAAATTTATCCGATGAAGTGAACAGCTTAGTTTACTTCATAAAAAGAGGCATCTTAACTAGAAAATGGATTAAATGACTAATTAGTAATAATCGAGATATAACACATTAATCCCAGTGTGGATAGAAATCGAGTAAGGTATAAGAATGAGATTAAGTGCTAATTCTAGAATTTAATATTCTAGAAGGTGAATTTGGAGAAGATCGAGGTAGAAGCTTCGGATAGGAATTATCGTGATTCGAGGTAAGTACTATGTCAACCAAATTTCATGCGTTTCCCATATATATTTATTTGTGACTAGTTATTTGAGATCATTTGAGTATTTGATAGTTAATGAGATTTTACTTATCAATTATGATTGTGAATTATATATATTTGAGATTTGAGTATTTTATATTGGGTGATATTTTGAGCATTTGAATTTACATATGAATTGTTAATGTACTGAGATTTGAGATTTGAGCTATTTATGAAGTATCCTATATTTTGGACTATTTATGGTATATTTGAGTATGATGAGTTAGAGTTAATAATTTCATTGTGAATAATTTTGTGGAATTTGGATTTCATATCCATTCTGATTGATGTTATGATACTTGAAATTGAGATTGGATTATGATTTTTGTGAGTACTCCGAGAAATGTGGACTTGGTGAGTGGTAATGGCTATAAGTCTAATTCCACCAGGGATCTCCCAAAAGTGGAGCATCCCAGCTTAATTGTAGTAGTCGGTAGAAAAATCCCGACTACTCGGACTTTTTACTACCCGGAGAGCTTGGAATCTCTTTTAGGGGGTGTGCACACTTAAGGTAGGAGTTCGGCTTCCATTGAATTTGGTTGAGTTTGAATGATTGAACTTGAGATGATTTGGATTATTTGGTTGGACTTGATGGAGATGAATTGAATTACATTATATTGGATTATTTGAGTGGGTTATATTTGTTTGGATTGGATTGAATTTGATGTGGTTGAGATTATTAAATTATTTGTAGGTTTTCAAAGTAATACTTATTAATTTGATTTGATATGGTTACGTTGAATATTGATTATGAGTATTTGGAATTATTTTGAGATGAATATTTGGGCTGTACATATGATTTATGTTTTGGAATATAATTACGAGGATTTTGGTGGTTTACGTATATTGACCTTTTAGAATTATTATGATTTGGAAATATGTACCTATTTTTGGAATATTATTATTTTACATGTGATTTTGTGATGAGAAGTTTGTATAAAATGTTTTATGAGGTTTCCTCCCAAATGTTTTCACAAAATGATATATATGCATCAAACATGATTACTTTACAGGGTTGGGTGGGCCTTACTTAGCATTTCCAGCTAATTTTTGTTTCTTTGTGTTTTTCTTTCTGTACTTTATTTGTGCAGGAATTGAGGATCATATTGAAGTTGATTTCGAGAGCTTCCGCTAGAACACATAGACTAAAGTGATTGAGTAATTTATTTTAGTCTTAATTTTAAAGAATTGTAGTTGAACAATTAATTAATTAAAATTTTAATTGTTGGTGGTGGATAGCCTGTGCACCCGGTTATGTGAGAGCCGAGTGTGGCGGTAACGCCCCTGTTTTCCTTTGAATTTTCCGCTGCAAGACTCTGATGTTTTCGAATAAATCATTATTTACTTTGAATAAATCATTATTCAAATGTATTTTTGGGTGGGAAATTTGGGGGTGTTACAAATTGGTATCAGAGACTTTCATTTTTTTAAATGGGGGTTTTCAAATATTTTCTGAGATTTTCCTTTTCCTCAAGTGATACCAACAAATTGGTATGACTTACTGTTTTCGAAAGTGGATTTTTGATTAAAAGTTTTCATTCACTAACTTCGGTTTTCGAAAAAAAAAGAGTTCATAACATTTTATAAGATTTTCTAAAACTCTTTTAGAGATACCAACAAATTGGTATGGAAGCCTATGATTTTCAAACTTCGAATTTTCAAATAAAACTTTCTTTATGTAACTATGATCTTCAAAAAGGCTTTACTTTTTAAAAACGATTGAAATTTTTCCAAAAAGTTTTCTTAATGTTTTTCCTAAAAAAAAAAAAATTACATCGCTCTTCTAAATGTTCTTCAACAGAAAGAAATTTAGGGATAATAAGTCGTATTAAGAAAGAATAAGCTAAAAAAAAGTCTAGGATACGGGTGAGGATGTGAGATTTTGAATTTCTACTTTGATGGAGTTTGTGATTATTTGAATTATTTGAGTTATACTTATATGAGGTATATATTTATTGACTCATTTGAGAATGAGTTTGGACTTTTAGAGGAACTTACCAAATTATGTGAATAGTGAGTTATTAGGTAAGGTAGTATAATTGTGAATGTCATTCGATATACTTCCTGTCCTAAACATTATTCTTTCAAGTAGACAATGAAGTCAACAAGAAACAAAGTAGAAGACAATGTCGCCGCACCGACGAATGCGGAGTTGGCTCAAAATATGGTTCAACTCATCCAGACTATCGGGAGTGTGTTAGTTCAGAACAAACACCAACAACGTCTCAAAAACCGCAATGATGTAGCGAAACTTGTAGCGAAGCGCAATCCACCGTGTTATTTAGGCCAAGAAGATCCTCTCATCCTTGAGGATTGGATTCGCACTTTCGACAAACTTTTCGATGCTATAAATTGCCCTGCAGATCAACGAATTAATACGGCTGCGTACTATCTACGTCAAGAGGCAGACAATTGGTGGGCCACGACTGCCCCAACGTTGCGTCAACAACCCGACTTTTCTTGGGAGACGTTCAAGGAGGCAATGCGAAAAAGATTCTACCCAGAGCACGTGAGAGCTGAGAAGTATGAAGAATTTTTACACCTGAAGCAAATAGGCATGACTGTTCAAGAGTACCACTCTAAATTCTTGAATCTCGCACGATTTGCACCCACGCTAGTTCCCGATGAAATCGAGAAAACAAATAAGTTTATACGCGGTCTGAACTTCGAGACACAAAAAGCTCTTTGCGTTTCAGAATGCCAAACGTTGAACGATGCCTACAACAAAGCTGGCAAGCACTATCGAGTGCAACAACTCCAGAAGAAAACACTCAAGAGAGAAAGGAAGGGCACCGAAGAAGAAACAAGACAGGGAGGCAAACGGCACAAGCTAGATAATGCAGGGGAGACCCGAAACGGGAACAAGATCAACAACCAAAGCCAAGGCCAGAAGCGTAAGAAGAAGAACTCAACTCAAGAGATGCACTTCTACTGCTCGAAGTGTGGAAAAGATCACCCCGGGAAATATTGTGACGGAACACTCGTACGATATTTTTATTGTGACAAGCTAGGACATAGGGTGTTCGAGTGTTATTACAAGCTAGGGCATAGGGTTTTCCGACTAGGGGTTAAGCTTAAATTTTCGAATACCTCCTGTCGGATTTGGCAATTCCGACAAGGTTGAGCACCATTTTTCATGATGCCGACAATATTGTAAATTCCAAAGCAAAAAAACAGATTCCAATTTGGTTGAACACCTGTAGTTGGAATTGGCACTTCCAACTAGATTAAAAGCCAAAAACAATTAATATATCCTATAAAACTCATTCCCATTGTCAAATTTTTAATACAAAAAAATCTTCCTCTCTTAATATATTTAATACTTCTTCCTTTCTTAAATAAATGCAACCGTTAATGTTTTATACTTTTCGAGACACAACTTTGACCATTAATATATATAATTTTGTATTAGTAAAAAGATTTTAAAATTTAGATTTTGAAAATTTACAATGAGACAATTTCAAATTTAAAAATATTATTATCATAAAAATATTAATACATTAATAAATAAAACGTAGTCAAAGCATAACATGTGAATAGTCCAAAATTCAACATGTTGCATTTATTTAAAAACCAAAGTAGTATATACTATATAGAAATGTCTAGTGAGCGTAATACTGTTGTTATCCGTGAGGAGCTAGGGAGGGACATGAGGGGTGCAAGCGTCCCCGCTTTGGGTAAAAAAAATTAGTACTACTGGTTACAATATACTTAATGCCCCCCCCCTTCTTTTTAAAAATCAGTAACAATTAAGGATAATTTTAAATTAGGTGTTTAAAAAAGGCAAAGTCTTTCGGGAAACGCATGTGTCTCTAGGAATACAAGTATTGGTTGCAGCATATAGGGGTGAGCATTCGGTCGGTCGGTCAAATAATCGACCAATAACCAACTAAAATAACCGACCGTTAACTGAATAACCGAGTAACTGACTTCTTTTAATAAGTAATAACTGATGACCGGTCGATAACCGACTTTTTCGATCGGTTCGGGTATCAGTTTTTGGTTTTATCGGTTATTTGCTCACCACTAGCAGCATATCACACTCATTCAAATGCAAGTGTGAGTTGTTTTAGACCTTTAATGACACACGTGTTGACTTTTCATGGTTATTGATAGAGTATATGGGCCTGGCCCCCATGGCCCACATACTCAACGGCCCAAAAGACATTAGCGGGACACCCGCATCGGCCAAAGGCACGTGACGTCCAAGAAAGAAGATATCGCCTGATCTCCATGGACCGCATCGTCCATGGACCGCATCGTCCATGGACCGCATCGTCCGGATCTCGCCCGGACAGAATGTATTATTTTCCTATTTTATGTGCTAAGTGTTGTACTCAGCCCATTAGTGGCCTTATTTGCCCAAAGAAGGCATGATTATTGTAATGGGCCTCCTAAGCCCAAGGCTAGGGGCCCAAATCCACGTTTTTACCTATAAATAGACCCCAAGGGGCTAATTATGGGGGATTCCCAATTTGAGAAATACAATTACTCACTTTATCTCTCTAGCTCTCACTTCTCTCTAGAATTAATACTCTATCAGTTATAGTGAGCAATAAAGTATTGAGTTTGACGATTATGTTTTCACATTGTGATGGTCCATTGGAATGGCTCTACATTTCAAAAAGATGATGAAATTTAATCACATAAATATAATGAGATCAAATTTAATCAGATAAAATTTAATCAGATAAATATAATTGGATAAAATTTACCCAGATAAATATAATCAGATAAAATTTAATCAGAAAAATATAATCAGATCAAATTTAATTAGATAAATTTAGTTAGAAAAAATTTAAACCGATAAATTTAAATCACATAAATAAATGTAATGAGATACTCCGTAATATTTAATCCTAAATCTAACTTCCATCTACCACTGTAGTTCATACCATTTACCACCCACCTGTACCTCTATAAAACAAAGTAAAAAAATTACCTATCCAACCAATATAATTGCAAAATAATTGATTGTGGTGTAAAAAATAATGTATGTAAAAAATCACATAAAAAAAAACCTCTAGTCGGATTGGTGACTTCCGACAAGAGGTATAATCGGATTTTATTTTAAATATTGTATCTCTAGTCGGATTTGCCACTTCCGACTACAAATCCCCGTGTTTTAAGAAACCCTAAATAAATCCCCGTATTTTGGCAATGCATGTAACACTTTCCCGTACCTGTGTGTCATTACTGTCATAGCATCTATGGAGTGCATATATAACGATGAAGGCGTAAGAAGCCCAATTTTGATGGGTACTTCGTTACACATATTTACCATCATTCGAGATGATGAGTTTACGGGGGACAAGAGTTCACGCTCATTTTAAAAAGAATCTGATACCCAAGTTTCAACACTTATTCCAATAAGGACATCTATATATTAAAACTTTTTGTGCAGGAAAATTACATGCCACTTAGAACTACAATTGTTGTTTTTAATTGGGAATTTTTCAACAGAATAAAGGTTTTTAATTTTTTTAGGCAGATATAGTCGGTGAAAATGTGGGGTTTGATATGTACATCTGTATATCAAGCCTTTATTATATAATAATATGCATTCGGTGCTATTAAATGTAGTTTTTTTTTAAATTAAAACTATAATAGTAATATGTCATAGTTAAAATATATGCAATATGTTATTACGAATTGTGGAACAATCCAAAGCATGATGTACTTGATATATAACCCTATTAATCTATTATTTTGAAAAACTAGTATCTCACTCGTGTGTTGCACGGCCAAAACAGAGAAGCAACAAAGATCAATGTAAGGTGCAGATGATGCGAGGTCAAAGACGTAAATCTACTTGGATCTCTGTCTCATCTTTCGGCGCTTCCTCTTGAGCCTCTTCTTACGCTTCTTTATCATTTATCCTTAATTTTACAATTTGATTTTGTGTTTTTTAAGGATGTTTTTACTTGGACTATAATTTGTTGGTCTAGATTGATTTGATCTCGTCTGATCTGGTCGATCTGGTCTAAACTGGTCTGGTATGATAATGTCTGGTTTATGTGTATTTTTATAACTATCCAAGTCTGGCCTGATCTGTTATGGTCTGATTTGGTCTGAGACTGAAAACAATCCAAGTAAAAACATCCTAAACACCAATTTAATATGTAGTATAACACAATTCAACCACAAAAGCCTTTTCATATTTCTTGGTTACGAAATGAACCTAAAAGTACTTACAAACACTACAAAAAAACACGCCTTTAGTCACGGATTTTAGTCACGGATTCCGTCCGTGACTAAGTAGTCACGGTTGTAGTCACGGACTAGTCACGGATGTTTAAAAATAATTTTAGTCACGGATTTATCCGTGACTACATCCGTGACTAAACGTAGTCACGGACAAACTCCGTGACGAATCTCCTCCGGTGACCGGAATTCCTTCTCCGGTCGATGTTATTTTACTCCGGCTATTAGTCACGGACATATCCGTGACTAATACCGTGACTAAAGGGAAAAATTAATTTTTCAACGGTCCTTATTTAAGTCGGACTGGTAATTTGTACGGAAAACTTTAGTCACGGATTAATCCGTGACTAAATCCGTGACTAAGTTTTTTATATATGGATGGCCAGACTCATTCAGTTGAATCACACCAACTCATTCCTTATATATATAATACAGTATCTGTCTGAAAGATTAAGCGGATGTAGTCTATCTTCTGTCATTTTCTCTGTTTATGCAGATAAGGTATGTTATTTTACTTATGTTTGATTATCAAGAATTAATTTTTAATATTAGATAAATAAGTTAGCATAAAGTTGAATTAATTAGCTAAAATAGTTAAATTTTATAGTAGGTAAATCTTAGGTATTATTTACTTAAAATGGGTTTTAAAATGGTGGTTAATTAATTAACGAAATAAATTGGTTCAAATTTGGCTGAATATTTACTTAGAATTACGTAAATTAGTTAAATATTTAGTAATTTATTTCATTTTATAAATTATAATTTGTTGCATAATATTGTATTTAGTTAGAATTACGTAAATTAGTTAAATTTGTAGTAATTTATTGCATTTTATATTGACGAAATAAATTAGTTAAAATTATTTAACTTGGTGCATGATGTTATATATTTAGTTAGAATTACATAAATTAGTTAAATTTGTAGTAATTTATTGCATTTTATATTAACGAAATAAATTAGTTAAAATTATTTAACTTGGTGCATGATGTTATATATTTAGTTAGAATTACGTAAATTAGTTAAATTTGTAGTAATTTATTGCATTTTATATTAATGAAATAAATTAGTTAAAATTATTTAACTTGCGGCATGATGTTATATATTTAGTTAGAATTACGTAAATTAGTTAAATTTTTAGTAATTTATTGCATTTTATAAATTATGATTTCCTGTTAGAATTAGGATTTAGTGTTATATAAATTAGTATTATATAAATTAGGATACAATTACGTTATTTGTTATTAAATTTGTGTTATTGAATCACTAATTATTGAATATAATTAAAGTAAACATTTATTATTAATTTCGTAAATATTTTCGTAAATTTTTACTAATTTATTAATTTCGTAATAATTTTGTAACTTAATTCATTTAATTTTGTGAATTATTTGAATTATTATATATGTCTCTTAATAAACATTTATTTCGTAAATATAATTAGTGTATGATTTAAATCATTAATGACATCATATTATCGTATTAGTTCTAGTTAATTAATATTATTAATTGAAAGTTATTGTTTCGTAAAATTGAATATATAAATAATGCTCCTACTATACATATGTTGTTAATGTCTATAATTTGTAATTTATAACCAATATTTTTTTTTATAATATTCAGGCATAATGTATAGGCAAAATAGAAGTTGGATGTATGATAAAAATGCGGAGTTGTACGGAATGAAAACAAATTTTCTTGATGGAATTGCGGAGTTTATTAAATTTGCACTTGAACACCCGGATTATATGAGTGGTGATAATATCAGATGTCCATGTTCAAAGTGTAAAAATATGCAATTTAAAGACCAAGACGCTGTTGGGTGGGATTTGTACGCGGACGGTTTTGTTCCCAATTATTATAATTGGACTTGTCATGGCGAAGCTTATGATCCATCTCTTTTACCACAAACAGTGGGTTCGTCTCGTAACGTCCCTGACCAGATGAGTGGGTGGGGAGAATATGCTGATATGAGATGGGATCAACAAATGGTATATAACGGATACGGTGTCCCGTTGTCTCAGTTTAACCCCCCACAACAATTTGACGATCCCGCTGAAGCCTCCGGGTCTGGGTATCAGCCTTATGTGGATGAGGATTTAGCTGAGAGATTTCAAGATGTTTTAAAAGCTGCTGATCAACCTCTGTATGCTGATTGTGAGGGATACTCTCAGCTGTCAGCCGTTACAGAGTTCATGAACATAAAGGCTGAATACAGTCTCCCTGAAACTTGCATGTCTAGAGTGTTGCAGTCAGTTGGAGGAATGCTACCGCGTGACCACAGCCTCCCTGATTCATATTACAACATGAAACAATTAATATCTAAGTTAGGGCTTCCTCACATAGAAATTGATGCGTGCCCTAAGGGATGTATGCTGTTCTGGAAGGATGATGAAACACTTGAGATCTGCAAGTTCTGTGGAGGAGACAGATACAAACCTGTTCGTCAAAGTAAAAGAAAATCACGAAATAGGTCTGCATTATCTAAATTGTATTACCTCCCAATAGGTCCACGACTTCAAAGAATGTATGCTTCTAATGCTACTGCAAAACACATGACATGGCATGTTCAACACGAAACCAAAGAGGGTATGATGTCTCACCCTTCAGACTGTGAAGCTTGGAGACACTTTGACCGTTGCCATCCTCAATTTGCAATGGAAGCACGAAATGTGCGCCTGGGATTGTGTTCAGACGGATTTGCTCCTTTTGGAAGGTTTGGGAAGAACTATTCCTGTTGGCCAGTCATGTTAACTCCTTACAATCTCCCTCCCGACATGTGCATGCAAAGTCATTTCATCTTTTTGACTTTAATTTGTCCGGGTCCTAATGATCCTGGAAAAAGGATAGACATTTATCTCCAACCCCTTATCGAGGAGATGAAACAACTTTGGACCGTTGGGACACGAACTTATGATGTTTCAACAGATCAGATGTTCACCATGAAAGCTGCCATCATTTGGACCATTAGCGACTTCCCTGCGTATGAGATGCTTTCTGGATGGAGCACACACGGTCTTATGGGATGTCCGATATGCATGGAGAAATCAGGTGCGAATTGGCTAACCTACAGCAGAAAACCAAGTTACTTTGACTGTCACCGCAAGTTTCTCCCGGCAGTCCACCGATACCGAAAGGACAGAAAGTCTTTCATTAGAGGTAGAGTGGTACGAGACCCCCCACCCCCGAGATTGAGTGGTTCACAAATTTTTGACCGGGTTCGACGTATTCCTACGGCTGTGCAAGAGCCCCATGAGGATCCATATGGGTATTGTGATACCCATAAGTGGACAAAAAAAAGTATATTTTGGGAGTTACCATACTGGAAAGACCTTCTCATTCGTCACAATATAGATGTCATGCACACTGAGAAGAACGTCTTTGACAATATATTTAACACAGTGATGGATTTCAAAGGGAAAACGAAAGACGGTCTTGCATCTAGAAAAGATATGTCAATATGGTGTGACAGACCCGAACTTTCTGTTGATCCAGAACATGAAGGTAACAAAATCCCAAAAGCAGTCTACCAAGTCACGGAAGCACAAAAGGCATCTATATTACAGTGGCTTGTGTCTCTGAAGTTTCCAGATGGCTACTGCTCCAACTTATCCAGATGCGTGGACATGAAAAAACTCACCACGACTGCGAGCATGAAAACTCACGATGCTCATGTAATAATGCAAAGACTTCTGCCGATTGCACTTAAAGAGGTCCTCCCGGAAGACGTCTGGTCATGTATTACTGAAATCAGTTTGTTGTTTCAGTCCATTTGTTCCAGCGTTTTGGATGCAACAGCCCTACGGAGACTAGAAGACACTGTTCCCATTCTGATGTGTAATTTGGAAAAAATAATGCCTCCGTCCTTTTTCGATGCAATGGAACATCTTATAATACATCTTCCGTACGAGGCTTTGACTGCTGGGCCCGTTTTCTATCGTTGGATGTACAGATTTGAAAGGTCAGTCACAATTTCTTTATCTTTGATTATTTATTTTCATACGAACACTTGATAGTTAGTTTACAACTTTATATTTTACATTTCAGATTTTTGGGAGACTTGAAAAAGAAGGTGAACAACAAGACACACGTTGAGGCTTCAATTTGTCACGCATATATTCAACAAGAAATCTCAACGTTCTCATCTTTTTACTTTGAGCGAGAAGTCATCACCAGAAGAAAGAGACCTACCCGGAACGATGACATCGGCGAGGATTTGTATGACAATGTAGTTTCCATTTTCAATTACCCAGGTAGAGGTAAAGGAGCTGCGACTAGCCGTTTTATCTTGGGCGAAGAGTACAAAATTGCACATACTTACATCTTAATGAATTGTCCAGAAATTCTACCATTTTATAAGTAAGTGAAATTGGTAGTTATATTTGTAATATATCTTTAGGGTAGTTAATTTATAATATATTGATGTTTTGCATCACAGTGAATTTAGAGCTTCTATATCCGCATATCCTGATTATGAAATCGATGCAAGGGTGGACGCTGATTTTGCAAGATGGTACCAGCAACAGGTATATATATACACATTATATATATTATTAACTATTTAATTTTTAATAATTACCCAATGTTATCATGTTTTTAATTTACATATCGCTTACCGTGGCATTGAAGACCCTCTGTTAGTATCATTAGCATGGGGTCCTGGTTCCAATGTCAAAGTTTGGCGGTCATATGTCATAAACAGTTACACCTATCACACAGACGATTATGGACAGGACCGACAAACAACAAACAACGGATTATGTGTGCAAACCATCGGTTATGATAACTCGGAAACCAATTTTTTTGGTATCTTGCATGAGATTATCGAACTTGAAATGCCTTCTGGTATGCAGAAACTGACATGCGTTCCGTTCCGTTGCAACTGGGTCGATCCGACACGCGGGGTGAGAAAAAATTCAAAGTATAATATGATTGACGTCAACCACTCTCACGTGTATCAGAAAAACGAACCTTTTATACTTGCTCAACAAGCAGCACATGTTTACTATGCATCATACCCTTCAACCAGGCAAACGCAGAATCCTTGGGTGTGTGCATGTACTGTCCGTCCGAACAAAATTGTATCACAATCTCAACACAAGGACGTTGATTTAGACGCTTTCCAGCAACAATTTTTCCAACCTCCGCCTATTGTTGAGACGGTCAACTATGACATCCAGTTAAGTGATCCATATGGCGGACGTGTTGAAGTCGTGCCTGAAACACACCTTCCAGACCAAACACCTCCATCTGAGCGCGAAATTGTTCAGATGTATGAAGAACAACAAAACGCTCAATATGAGGCAGAAGGAGAATGGGTAGACGGTTCTGATACAGATGAAGATGTTGTATATATAGAAAATAGCGATTCTGATAGTGATTAATTATATTGTTGTAATTTCAAATTTTTGAAATCAAATATTTGGTTTCTATTCTTCATCATTATTATATGTGAATTGAAAATCTGATTTCTCAAATTTGAAATTTAAAATTTGAAATTTGATTAAATATTTCGTATTAATTTGAAAATTTTCGAATGAATTATTTAAGTTTTAAATTGTGAAATTTAAAAAATAATCACCTCATCATGAATTTATTTATTAACAAAATTTTTTGGTTCCACATACTCTGTACATATACTCTGTACATTCTTGTGCACGACAAAGCATCGACACAATTGGTTTTTCTGCGTTTATCGGTTCCATATACTGTGTACATTCTTGTGCACGACAAAGTATCCGATACAATTTTTTTGCTCATTTCATATACTTTGTACATCATTTCCCAGTCAATTGGTTCCCGATTAGCCATTTTTTTTTGCCATATAACATCTTTTGGCCAGAAAATAGCCGTTGTCAGCCACGCGGGAGGCGAGGTGTCAGAGCCGCCGTTGACCACTTTAGTCACGGACGTATCCGTGACTACGTCCGTGGCTAAGTTTAAATTTTGAATTTAGCCACAGACGTAGTCACGGATACGTCCGTGACTAAAGTGGTCAACGGCGGCTCTGACACCTCGCCTTCCGCGCGGCTGACAACGGGGTATACGAAGGGTTTAGTCACGGACTAGTCCGTGACTACATCCGTGACTAAAAAATAATATATAACCTGGACTTAGGTTTTTTTTCCCTCTTGCGCTTCCCTATCCCCTTCCATCTCTATATTCTCTCTGTTCTTCGTCTTCCTACTACTCGACTCCAAGCCGCCGCCGCCGCCGTCTGCAGCGCCGCCACCTCCGACGCCGCCACCTCCGACGCCGCCGCCTCCAACGCTGCCGTTCTCCGCCGCCTCCGACGCCGCCTCCGGTTAAGGTGATGTGCCTATTTAATTTTTTTTTTGTATTTTAATAATAGATTTTAATTGTTTGAAATTGTTAAAACATGCATGTTTTGTTATACCTAAGTGCTTTGTATGTTGTTAAATTCATATTTTAATCTTCAAGTTGTATATATTATTCGTTTCATGTTAAATCGTTTTTTTTACTCTATGTATGTTAAATTCATATGATTCAATATATATGGTTGTTAAATTATTTTTTATATTACATCTAGGTTAAATCGTTTCAATATGCATGTTAAATCGTTTTTATATGAATGACTATATTATTCGTTTTGAGTTTAATATGCATGTTAAATATATTATAGGATATTTAAACTAAAACGAATTAAACTAAAAACGAATAATATATTATTATTTTTAACATAATATATTATTCCTATAGGATATATTATAGGATATTTGTACTATAATATCCTTATTATACGAATATATTATACGAATACTTTGACAAACTAAAAATAATATATTATAGGATATTCGTATGCTACTTGGAATTATACGAATATGCATATTCGTATTATAGTATTCGTATATAGGAATTAAAAATATAATATATTTTTAGTTTAAATATGCATGTTAAACTATTCGTATATTATTTGTTTGTCAAAGTTTATGTATGTTAAATTGCTTCAAGATATGAATGATTATATTTTTCGTTTTTTATCTTTGATTATACTATTTGTTTCAATATATATGGTTGTTAAATTATTTTTTATATTACATCTAGGTTAAATCATTTCAATAAGCATGTTAAATGATTATATTATAGGATGCTACTATTCGTTTTTGTTTATATATATGTCTATAAAATTTGCTCCCTCATGTTAAACTAAAAGTTTAACATGTTTAAATAATCTATTTGCCGAAAATGAATTAAAATGTATTCGGAAAATTAATGGTAAAACTGTTTTAAAAAAGTGATTGAATAAAAAATTTATTGAAAAATAATTGTTTTAAAAAAGACTGTTTTTTATAACACCGTTTTACAAAACTGATTTTTATAAAACTGTTTTTATAAATCAGTTTTATAAAATGGCTATTTTTATGAAATAATTTGTTATAAAACAGTTTTATAAAATAATTTGTTATAAAACAGTTTTATAAAATAATTTGTTATAAAACAGTTTTATAAAACTGATTTATGAAACTGTTTATAAACTTTTTTATGAAATTCCGTATTTATTAAAAACTGTTTAATAAACTGTTTTATAAAACTGTTTTATAAACTGTTTATAAACTGTTTTATAAACTGTTTTTAAACTTTTTTATGAAACTTTTTTAAAACAGTTTACAAAAAACTGTTTTTTTTAAAACATTTTAAAAAAAAAAATTATTAAAACAGTATTTTTTAAACTGTTTACAAAAAAACTGATTTTGAAAAAAACAGTTTACATTTTTTAATGTTTTAAAAAAACATTATTAAAACAGTTTTTTCAAAAAAACTGATATTTTAAAACTTTACAAAAAACTGTTATTTAAAATTCATTTAAAAAACAGTGTTATAAAAACAGTGTTATAAAAACAGTGTTATAAACACAGTGTTATCAAAACAGTATTATAAAAACAGTTTTATAAAAACAGTTTTATTAAAACTTTTATATAAAACAAAAATATGTACACCGAAAAGACTTTTATAAACTGTTCATAAAACTGTTTTTACATATAATGAGGTTATAAAAAATATAAAAATGTATAAAAAGTTTACCAAAATAATAGACATACAAAATATCTATAATATAAAAATAAAATATGTTCCCTCATGTAAACTTCCCAAAAAGTTTAACATGTTACCTACCAAAATGTATTATTTCAATTTTACAATAGTCAAATTAAAAAAACAATCACACCCCATATTAAACTTGAACATAGTTTAATATGTCATAACAATTGTTAATTAATAAAACATTTTAAATCATTGTTTTATTATAATAATCACACTAACATTTAAAGATATGAATTAATAAATTTTAGATGAGTAATGAACAATCCACATCTCGCGCTCGCCCGAACTACACCCCCCAGACAGTTGCGGAGCGCAATAATGATACCGCTCATTGGGTGACAGCTGAGCAGATTGCTTCGTAAGTAATTATAAACTTTTTCTAATATCAAATAATTTTGTATTATGTCCAATAATTTAATCAAAATCTATTAAAAAAATATAACAAATTTTTTAAAGCGATCAAGATGTCCTAAATCGGATCAAGGCCATCATCAAAGGGCATAGTAACGAAGCGCGAACTTTGGTGGAACTTGTTTAAGGTAAAAATAAATGAATTTTCTTTATTCAAACATAGTAACTTAAAATTTGATAAATAATAAACTAATTTAATTTTTTAAATAAAGTCCCAACACCGATGGCTTGAAGCGGATGGTCCCGCGATCCTTAAAGCGTATAATGCAAGAGTTTCGTCTTGGATGGTAAGTTCTTTTAAACGCTACCGAAAAGACATGAAGAAGCCCGCATGGATTGCCGATGATGTGTGGGCCAATCTTGTTAACCATTGGTCCACGGATCCGAAGTTTGCGCAACGAAGCGCAGCCGGTAAGAAAAACCGGATGTGTGAAAAGGCTTTGGAGACCCAATGGCATGGGGGCCGTAAACCTCTTCCTCAGCATAAAAAAACTCTTGTAAGTTTTAATTCAAAAAATAAATAAAGACAATCCTTCATGTTTACAATTAGTTTTGGATTTTAATCGTTTGGAACCATGTAGGCGGGGCCCGAGAAAAAGAGGGTCTCGTATCTGAAGGTGTTAAAGCACTGTTGGACGAAGGGCGGGGACGAATCGGAAGCCGACCTTCCCCCTCGCATCGCTGAAATAGAAGTAAGAAATACACTTGTGCTCTTTACTTCTAAATAAAATTTTCCTAACTTGAATTTATCTTGTACATGAAGACGAAGTATAACTCAACTGTTGAAAGTAAGCGTGCCGAGCTTGGCTTGACGGAAGAGGATGACCTCGCTTCTGATGAGGATGATGAGGCGATTCTGGGGGCAGCTGGGGTTTACAAAGGCCGGGTTCCTTGCTTGGGTGCCGAAGGCCAACGGATTTTGCTCAACCGCGACGGCTCTTCTTCTTCGAGTTCGCGGCGTGGTGAGGATCCTCGTATTGCCGAATTGCAGCGACAATTAGAGGAGCAACGCCGGAAGGATGAAGAAACGAGAGTCCGGCTTGAAATGATGGAACGGCAAATGAATATGTTCAACGCCGCCTATCGGCCTCCGCCGTATGTAAGACCTCCTGAAATGACTCCTCAAATTCCGCAAATGGGCAACTTCCATTCCAACTCCGGGTTTAACATGCCCTCCTACGGATCATTTCATGATCAGTCGTGGAACAACATGTTTCAGACACCCGTAGGCAGCCGCGGAGGATCTAGTCGCGGAGGATCCAGTAGAGGAAGATCCAGCCGCGGAGGAGGCAGCCGCGGAGGAGGCACCCGGCCCGAAGAGCCTGAAGAGCCCGAGCAACCCCAAGAGTCAAGTGATTTTCATTATTATGATGAATGACTGTAATAATATTTTTAGATTTAAATGTGTGTGAATTTCTTTTTATTAAATTGTTTATGCATGAATTTTTAATTTTCTATTAATGTGTCTGAGTGAATTTATGTAGCATTTATTTCTGTTTTTCAAAATAATTAAAAAACGTATTACATTTTTTAAACAAATTTTTAAAAAGTAAATTGTAAAAATTCTTTTCAGAACAATTTAATAAAATAGTTTTTTTTAAAAAAATACTTTTTTTAAAAAAATTAAAATAAAATAGTCACGGACTGATTCCGTGACTAAACTAGTCCGGTATTCTTTTTCGAAAATAAAACAAATTTATTTTTTTAAAATATAAAATAACTAGTCACGGATTCTGTCCGTGACTAAATTTAAAGTTTAGTCTGAAAATTTGAAATCGAAGTCTGAAAATTTGAAATTTTGAATTTGAAATTTTGAAATTTTGATATTTTA